CAGCAGTGCATGAGGGTTCCTTTTTCTCCGCATCCTCGCCAACACTTGTCGTTTGTTGACTTGTTGATGATAGCCATTCTGACAGGTGTGAGATGGTACCTCATTGTTGTTTTGATTTGCATCTCTCGGATGATTAGTGACTTTGAGCATGTTTTCATATGTCTCTTGGCCTTCTTTCTGTCTTCTTTCGAAAAGTATCTATTTAGGTCCGTTACCCATTTTTTATTGGATTGTTTATCTTCTTTTTGTTAAGTTGTATGAGTTCCCTGTAAATGTTGGAGATTAAACCCTTATCTGTGATAACATTGGCAACTCCTTCAGTAAGTTAACCACAGTTTGCTAAGGTTATATTTTATTGTTTTCATGATTAATTTTGAGAAGACAAATAACTGGTTCTTTTTTGTGACAGAGGGATTAGGAAAGACCTCTTACTTTAGGTACACTTTAACCTATATGACTTTAAGCTTTAACTGCTCAGTCCCTTTGGCCCTGGGGGGAAGAGTTAAAAAAATTTTTAAACCTCTAGCTCAGTGGTTCTCAACCTTCTGGCCCTTTAAATACAATTTCTCATGTTGTGACCCAACCATAAAATTATTTTCGTTGCTACTTCATAACTGTAATGTTGCTACTATTATGAATTGTAATGTAAATATCTGATATGCAGGATGGTCTTAGGCGACCCCTGTGAAAGGGTCTTTAGACCGCCAAAGGGGTCGTGACCCACAAGTTGAGAACCACTGCATCTAGCTGAACACAGAACTGCTAAGATTCAGTATTAACTCAAACATGTGCAAAATACCACTATATATAAGACTTTTCATTACAGCATTACTCAACTCTATATAATGGGAGAGAGCAGAGAATCAAGGTATTTGCATGAGGAAGGGAATGGGATTAACATATATGCATGCACTAAGTCTCTGGTCTTTAGAAGAATATATTAGTACAATAAAAATAGTGGTTGTCTGGGGAGGATAAAACTGGAATGCTGAAGGACAGATGAGAGTCTTAAATCTTCCTCTATGTACCTTTTAGAACCTTAAATCTTCCTCTTATGTACCTTTCATAACCTTTCAATTCACATATTTCCTAAGCAACAAAATAAAAGACTGGCTTTTGTTTTTTAATGATTATGGGTGGAAAAAGAGACTGTTTAGCTCAGTGATTGGTTCAGATAGAATCTACTAAGTAGTAACACTGTCAAATTATGATATAGAATAACTTTCCTAAAACTGTCTTCCAAAGAGACTGAAGCACATCCATTCATCCAGTCAATATATCAGTGCTGCCTGGCTGGTGTGGCGCGATGGTTGAGTGTCAACCCAAGAACCAAGAGGTTACCAGTTCGATTCCTGTTCAAGGCACATGCTGGGTTGCAGGCTCGATCCCCAGTGGGGGGCATGTAGGAGGCAGCAGATATTTGATGTTTCTCTCTCATCAATGTTTCTATCTCTCTATCCTTTCCCTTCCTCTCTCTAAAAGAAATCAATAAAATATATTAGTGCCTACAACATGTTCTACGCATTAGAGTAATGCCCAAATCATTCAAGAGTCCTTGCCTTCATAGAGTTTAGTGGGAGTAGAGATAAAAAGTAAATAATATAACTTGGAGTAGTGGTAAATGCTAGACAGAAGAGAGGCAAATATGATGAAGAGAAACTAGGAGGAGGGGGAGAGGAAAACTGTGTTTTAGGAATCCTAAGGTAAACCTTTCAGAAGATATGTCATGTAAGCCAAGAACTAAACAATAAGCAATGCAATAAACAGAAGGAAAGCCCTGTGACTGGAATAAACCAGGTTCCAGTGTATAGGATACAGCAAAGCAACAGTGTGGTTGAAGTGGAGCAACACAAGGAGTGAAGTGCAGGAGATAATCTCAGAGGTAGGCAGATCCCAGTGACATGGAGGACCTTGTAGGTATTGGGGGTGGGAGGGGGTAGTCAAGATTTTATTCTAAATGTGATGGATGGAGAACCTTTGTAAAATTCTGGGCAGGGTAGTGACATGATCTATATTTTTAAAAAATCTCCTTTTGCCCTAGCTGGTTTGGCTCAGTGGATAGAGCATCAGCCTGTGGACTGAAAGGTCCCAGGTTCGATTCCGGTCAAGGGCTTGTACCTTGGTTGCAGGCACATCCCCAGTAGGGGGTGTGCAGGAAGCAGCTGATCGATGTTTCTCTCTCATTGATGTTTCTAACTCTCTATCCTTCTCCCTTCCTCTCTGTAAAAAATCAATAGAATATATTTTTTTAAAAAAAACTCCTTTTAAGCCGAAAGGAGACGGATATAGTAGGCCAGGCAACAAATGATGGAATTGAACAGTGGTTTCAGAAAGATAATGAAATGAGTCTGATTCAGGATATATTTTGAAAGTGGAGCCTACAGGATTTGCTACTGGATTGAAAACGGGAATCCAACTGGGTGAATAGTAATTCTTATATTTGTATAGTTACTTACAGATCTCAAGGTACTCTTACATACATTATTTCATTTCATAATAACAAGAGACTGAGGAAGGTCATACTGAATCAATATCCAAATTCTTCCTCTTGCCAAAAGTGATTTCAATGGGTTTTTAGACTATCAACTGTATTGTCCACATCACAAGATTCCTGCATGTATCAAATGGTTAAAGAATTTTGCAGGGGGGTGGGGATTAATGGGGGGGATAAGGACACATTTGTAATACCTTAACTAATAAAGAATTTAAAAAAAAACACAATTTTGCAAAGGTAAATAATGACCATTTTGAGATAGATAGCATCATATTACAGTTGTCCAATGAAGGATAGTATGTTTCTATCATTCAGGACAGTAGAGTTACCCTACCACCACCACCATTAAATTCCACAAAGAAATTTGTGTTGTGGTTGTGAGAGAAGAAGCAAACTTTTTAAAAATTCTGATATTTAAAAATAGACATTTTCATTGATTATGGAAAAACCTACATCATATAAGCATGGGCACTAAAAAACACACACAGCATAATCTTTTAATCCTTCCTACGGATTGGAGAAAGCAGTTCTTTTAAGCTACAAATGGCATAAAGTAAGAACCATCTAAGTTTTATAAGATAAAACCCAAATCACAGCACCTTTCATTAAAGAGATGATACCAACAAAATACTGTAAAATTAAAATTATGAGTTATCGCTGTCTTGGTTTAAATAGTAAAACGTAAATGCCTAGTGTAAACATTATTGTGTGCCAAATGAATTGAATTATGAAAACTTGAACTTAATACCTTAAGTCATTATCACTTTAAACAAGGTTAGACAGAATTTATTCTTCCATCAAGGCTTTCATGTTACTGCACAGTATCTTAAGAATCAAGCAAAAATGGAAAAATATGTTAAGCCTTTAATTCATTATGTATTTTGGAGAATTATCTTGAATGTCAAATTATATTATGTGCTTAATCAATAACCTGAGTAGTAAATAATAATTCGAGAATATTTGGTGTACAGCTCTATCCTCCCTCCACCCCTCATTTTCAACTGAGCCCTCAATAAACATGACCATTGCAGCCGTGACTGCATTATAACTAAAACCACACTGTAAGGCCCTCGCAATGCATACAGCAATAAACTTCCTTGGACAAAGTCCAAGACAAATCTGTGATACAGTACAACGAATTTCTCACTATGAAGGTCCACATTATTATAATTTCTATCTCATAAAATGTCCTGTTTTTCTAAATCAAGCACCTCTTAGATCAGAGACACCCATACATATTTAACTGAAACTGCACGAAGCACTACCCGACACATCATCCTTCAACAGGTCTTTCTTTCACATAGTAGTTTTCTCCCCCAAATTTTGAAACACACACATTCACCTGGTTTTATCAAGCAAAGTGATGCTGCAATTTAATCCCTTTAACTTACATACAGGGTGGGGCAAAAGTAGGTATTCCTATGGAAAACACAGCGGTTAATAAAAATCATACAAGAATAAAGTGCTTCACGTACTCACAATGGTAAACCTACTTTTGCCCCACCTAATATTAAACAAGACAGAGATTCAACTTATTTCCTTTATTAAAACGCACGAAAAAATGCAAGGTTTTTAGTGAGTTCAAGTAATATTTCACCTTTGAGGACTTAGGTAAAGAATTTACAAAACCATGATTCCGAATTTTTTCAGGGTTCAATATGTGCTTGTCCAAGTATAGTATTAACAAAGAGCAGAAGAACGATCTAATAATTAAAAGTGTACAAAATCGAGAGGCAAAAGATTTTAAAAGGTCCCCAGACCTGAGCCCCCCCAGTTCCCTATTGAACTATTTCCTCTGAACAAAAACAGGTCTGGGGTTGCAAACCAGAGTAAAATCACTTCGCGGAGACAACGAGCGGAAGCGGATTTAAGGAAGAGATCGCGGAAGCTGGGCCAGTCGGACGCGAGCCCCCAAGTCCCGGACCAGGATGGATGCCGGGTGCGAGCATGTGCCGACGGCGGCAGGACGCGCGGCCTCCCGGGTGCAGGCCCGGCCCGGCCTCACCCTCCCGCTTCATTCATTCTG